CTGCTGTACAAATGCATTTCTTGGTCACTTTGTCACTACCATAGAGCTCAAAGGCCTTTGCCTACCTCTCCCTTAATAAAGTGAACTGAAGAAAATCACCAGTTCCCTCTTCACTTAATTCATTAATTATAAATATATCGGCAGATGAATAAAAGTACCTTATTGGAGAGGTCCCGGTTTAAAATTTTCATGTTCTTTTTAATTGAAGTTAAGGCGTTTTATGGAAGGTACTTTTATTATGCTTTAGGGATAGCCGAAGACAGTCATAACAAATAACGGTTAATTTTGCAATTCCATTAAAAGATAACTTACCAATAGAAGTGAATATGAGATTTCCAGGAAGCAGTTCAGAAGAAGGAGAAGATGCGACCAGTGGAACAAGAGTTTTATTTTCCTGACGTTTCGGATTTTTTCGAGAATCCTTAGTCGAAGGTTATCGTAGGATAGCCCGAGACATGCGCAGCTAAATTTTAATTTAAGGCTAGCAGTCTGTTTGAGAACCTTCCGACAGTTATAGAAACTTTTTCAGTCGACATCAGACAGAACTTCAGTAACGCACGGATAAAGTAATAAAGCAATAATTTCGAAATTGGAGTGTCTACCAGAAAGCATACAGGGAATGCTGGGGATCCATTGATGAGCCAAACGCCTCGCAGCTGTATCGTGCAGTGGCAGAATATCGGTTAAGCACTTGTTCGGACTTTTAGCCAGCACCTGTACTGCCAGTATGGTGGAACGGCTTACCTCCTTTATATACTCCAGGCTGCCTGCTGACAAGTTAATAACTATTATGCGGTTATGCCATTGTGGCTAGTCGAATTCGGTCCAAATATTCGTACAAATTTTCAGCCTACGCCTATAAAGTACCATTTGGACTGACTTACGCCAAGTTGGTGATTATTCTTCTGTGAAAATTAAAACGTAACAATAACGAATTCTTTTCGGACGTCACTGTGAACAGTTTTTATTTTCGGAAAAGAGTTCCGCTTTGAACGATCTCGACTGTCACGATTCGGAGGAATAAAATCTGTTAAAAATGCGCTTTGGTTCGAAATACCACTCTGATACTAGCCTAGGCACATTTCTTCTAGTCCTAACGAGCACACCATTGAGCCTCAACAACAGATTCAGACACTTTATCTGCGATTATATTTGTTTTTGATGCTTTTTGAGCCATACTTCCACTTATGCTTTTTATACTCATTATGAGTTTCGCGAACACGCAGACTGTAGGCTAACTATTCCCGTCACATGAAAGTACTAAATTTGCTGCGGCAGACATTAAACCCAAACTTACCAGAGGATCTGATATAGTGGGTAGAAAATCCGCTAAGCCGATGTTGTTTCATTGTAAAGGATTCTAGTGTAAAAAGAATTGGTACAGCCAATCTAATATACACGAAAAGGCTTGCCATTTCCAGCACTCTGTCTAATTACTGGCCTCGGGTCTCGGCGAACTAACCAGTTCATCAAACGCACACAAAAACGGCAGTGAGTAAGCGCCCTGTTCGCCTCAAAACCCAAACAGAGAAGTTCGTCAACTCTAATCTCTCCTTTGAGGTCCTTTCTAGAAAATGAATAATTTCCGACCTTTTCCTTGGACACCGGAGTTCTTTATTGACTCTCCTATCTCTGATATTTGCTGTTATTTGACGAATTTCCTCAGACTTTCAGATATCTATGTTTTTTTGGATCTCGAGGATCGTCCTGGGATTTAGAAAGTCGGAACTTTACAAGATTACTGAAAGAAAACTTACACAGGCAAAGAAAGCTAGACTGGTTATTCCTGATTTACATAGCAGACAACCAATCCACTATGCCCCAACTTCCGATCGACAGGACCCGAGGCTTGAACCTGAGCACAGTTAATTATACTGCATTCGAATTTAACGGTTTACTACCTGACCTAGCGCCCAAAACCCTGTCGATTGTAATCGGGAGGGTTAGTGGGGTCTCCGCGACCAAGTTTCCCTCCGCCGTTTTCCCAGACACGCCTTCCGACGTTTTTAATTATTTAGAACTCAGGTACCATCCGTGATGGCTCCTCTTCGGAGATCCTATGAACAACAGAACGAACTCCTTCCCTTCTGCAGTCGGGTCATTGAAGCGATACTTCCATGTGAAAATTTCTTTCTCTTGTGCTTAAACAGGAAGGACCGTGAGTTTCGTCGGCCACTCACTGCTGGTGCAATCCAGCACAGACGGTTCTTAAACTGTGCGCGCTCCTGCATGACTTGGGAGATATTCTGTGAAACTCAAGGGGGATACACGCCTGGTCGTGTCCGTGATGAAGCCAACCAATCAGCGCTTTGGTCGTCCGATTTGCGCTCGCGTGCTGTTACCGGAACCAATGGCCATATCGTCTGGCCGCGGGCGCATCCGAACCAGGCAGGAGGTGAGCAGACCAATAAGAAGGCGAGGAGTCTTTTGTCTGGAAATATACCTGTTTACAAGTGCAAAAAGCAATTTATTGCCCATTTTGGAAATCAGTCCCCAGCAGATACGAGTTTATTCTACGGTTTCCCCGGATTGCGAAACGTACTCAACCGATTTCCCAATGGAACCTCACTGTGGGTATTCCGGGGTCCCTGATAGTATAAGCGTTGGCAGGCACGAGTCCGACGTGCTAACCGGACAGCAGATGCAGCACTTTCTTGAACCAGGATCGTCTGAGGAGATAAGCCAAGAGCAGGCGACCAGTCCCTGTGAATTATTCACAGTGGCGCCCCCTGTTTTATGGAACACACCAGAGGTCCGACTTCGACTACTTGCTGAAAACGGCAACCTAAGCTATCCCCTACTTTCAAAATCCCACTTCCCTCCGAAAAACCCCAACTTATCGACAGCGCACTCAAAATGTCTGGAGAACCTGAAATCCTACCCGTTTGGCGGTGCGGACCTGCAGCCACTCCAGCGGGTGGCCCCGTCGACCATCACTTCCTCCCACTCCCTGTATTCGCATCAGTCCTTGAGCAATTCATATGAGCCGACTCAAGGTGCAAGCCAGCTTTTGCTACCCACCACCGCCGCCGCAAAGAACGATGTCCAAAGCAGTGATGGTACCGAGTGCGGACAGAGGATGGAAGCCGATTTTTTAATACTCGAGAAGGTAAAGCATCACTTGCTGTCGAAATTCACCACCGTCTCATCAGCTTCATCAACAGGAGAAGTGAGTCCCGAGGCGCTGAAGCCAACCAGTACATCGATGCACTACGCATTTGAGAGGAACCAATCCCCCTTCAACTCAATGGCTCCGACAATATCGACCGCAAGCAGTCTCACCGCTCAGAGGCATCATATGATTATAGGTAGGGTCTTATTTTAAATCCCAGTAGTTGTGTTTGCCCATAATTTTTGCGGACCCTTCATGTGTCCTAACCTGGTCGGAGCTTGAAAAGTCTTCTTTTTATGAAACTCAGAAAAGGTTATATGTTTGTTTTATCCTCAATTGTGTGGTACACAATGCAAAATGGAGTTATTTTTATGTTTTCTATTCCTGACAACGTAACCCATGGCTACTCATAATCACGTAAGCGTATTTGAAGCCATATCTACAGCATTTGCAATCGGCATTACTCATGAGTAGTCACAAATCAGCAGGATTTTCAGTCAAGAACAAGGTAGAATGATATAATCATTTCTGACATAGCTATCTTCCTCAGTCAGCAAGCTCTACTCAAACTCCTGCTCTGGCACGATTGGGGATCGAAGGTGGGTTCAGTAATTTGGCGAACTCAAGCATTTTTCGACTGGGCTGCGACCCAAAGCTCTATCGGCTGTAGGTAGTGGTATTAAGAGTCATATATGAGTAGCGAGATCAGAGGGTTAAGCGGGTTTTCTGCTGATAAAACGCAGGCGTCTAACTCTATAATAGGACACTAAAATACGGATATACTGGATAAGATTTAAATTTCAGTTCTTTCTAGTTTCCGGCGAGTGCATATACTAATCTCAGTTCTCCCGCAAACCAGCCTAATTGATTGATTGCTCATTCGGGTAGCATTTGACTTATATTGCGGTAGGTTGTTGTGCCCTCAGGCTTCATAAGGTCCCCTCTGACAATGAGTTGTTTTAAGCACTTCATCTACTTACTTGATAGCAGAAAAAATCACAAGGCTTGCATTTTTTGGCAGACACATTTTTCAAAGAGACCAAATTTGAAAGCTGTGTTCCGAAAAAAGTCAGGAAACACGTATCAAACCACTAGTGAGGGTCTTGCCTCTCCTCAACGGTTTACCGCACTTGCTACCATGATGTAAAGGTGAAAACAATGAGCATCGGGATATCTTTTGGGAAACAGGAAATTTCTTGACAAGACACATTAAACAATCGTAGAAGTGAAGGCACATGTCGCTTTCAACCGTTTGTACATGATCAAGAAGGCATTAGTTAATCCACAAATGTTCTTTTCAACAACACAATGTAGACTTTTCTGGTAAAAGCAATTCTGACTTTTGCTGATCAAGATTATGTTTTCACAGTGCACAGTGCACCATGTTTTACAGTCCATTGATACAGATCTACTGCCGTATCATTGTGAATAATCGCTGTAAATGCAGAGCAGGTGCTGTCCATATTTTATTCTTTTGTTCATGCCTGTAAGTCTAGACAAGCCCTGGGTCTTTTAAGTCAATTTTGCGGAGTTTATCAAGCTACAAACCCCATAAAAGTGCTAAGTGAACAACTTACAGGATACAGATTCTTGGGCGCTGAGCATAATAATTATCGAGTAACCCTGTGGCAAAAATGTTTTGCTAGATTCAAATGTTATCTTGGAGTTAGATTCCCTGCAACATATAGCCTTGAGTGCAAGCACAGAGGGTTTTTTTGTATTTATTCGCTGTTTTCGCTTATGCTGTAGGAATGTCTTTGATTTCGCTTCGTCACTAAACAGCCAATTATATCCTAATGGGTAAAATGTAATCGGGACTGATAAGCACACATAGACATGACGAAGTCTTCTACAACGTAAAGTGGCAATTGAGGGTACAAGGTCTGCCTGAAGTTAACCTCCAAAGTCAAACTAATGTCCTCTGCCCAGGCGTTTTCCATTTTCAGGCATTGTAGACAAACATTCGGTGGGAATGCCAGTAAGTTCCTCGGGATACGCGTAAAAACTTAAAAACTCCACAGGAGTTATCAGTAGTGCGTTTTGTACACATACATCAGCACACCCAATAGGGGGATGCAAACTGACGGACCAGACGCGTGTTTCACGCGCCTTCTGCAACCGTTTGATGCAGTAGTGAGATCATCGTCTCATTATTGGGACCAATGCTTTCCTCCTGGTGATTAAAATTTAGGCAGAGCGCTTTGAATAATCTTGGAGCAAATTTTTTAGGCCTAGACCTTTCTTGTTCAGGCTCGAAATGTATGCACTCGTTTGAGAATCGAATGTCGCCAAATTGAGCAAACTAACCGTCAAACGTTTTCAATTGCAAATCAAACAGTATCATGTGCTGTGCAAGTCAAGTAGTTTTGTTATGCGCAGTGGAGAATTCGTCTGGAAACCGCTAGGCGATCAGCTGATGGGGAAAAATCAGCACGGTTGCGGCATGCAGTAGCAAATTGTCAGCTAAACAGGAATCTGGGCTTTTAGCTAGCACTGATTTTAGGAATATGTTGAAGCTAATTAAAACCCTGAACAGTGATTAGGATCGGCATTATCCGGTAGGACGTCTACTGGACCAGGAGTGGCTGGCTTGTTATGAATTAGAATCGAATACCATCCTGACAGAATAACCGAATGCCTTTATTATACATGCGACATTGCCTTACTTCAAGATGAATTGTCTGAAAACTGCTATTTTCTTGTGACATCGATGAATCGAATGACAAACTGGGCAAATCGAACCTTCGTGGTGGGGAAGGATAGGATGCATTAAGTATTGCTCATGAGCATAAATTTAACAACTTTGGTCACTTTCCTTCTTCCAGATTGTTTCTTTCATGTATTTAGAGCGTCTACATTTTTATTATCACAGAACATTTTTCGGAAGCGAGAAGAATGTACTTTGCACTCGCTTATAAACAGTGATTTACCGTTACTGGGGGAATTTGAAGCGAACGCGTCTAAGAATAAGGCTAATATTTTAGAATGATTTTCTCCCTGAAGTTACGATCGGACAGATAAAAGCGGAGGTAAAGAAGAACAAATAAGTAGAATCTTTAACCAATAACCAGTATGCAAGTCCAATGGTTTTTTAATACTATAAATCACTCCTTTCCGTTACGAACTGAGTATGCTGTGGAGAAACGACCCGCAGACAACAATTTCTCGATCACTGCCCATTACCAGTATACCCCATCGTCGCTTTCAAAAGACTTTGTTGAACACCAGACAGCTCTTTGCCGTAACCAGTAAAATAATTAGACGAAAACGACTCTCCCAAAGCATTAACTTCTACTCTACTTACCTCGTCGCTCGAAGCCTTCTTTTAATTTGAACATCGTGAAACTACTGAAGGAGTCCGATTTCGTACAGTGACTTACGATGGAGGACTTACATCAAAAACCACATATTTTTATTCAAGATTTTCCCAAACAGTTTTTTAATGTAAAAAGGGAGACCCCTGCCCCAGGAGACTGTATCCAGAAAGTAAATGTTCTTTACGCAAACTAAAAAACCAGCCCGTATCGCTTAATTCTCCAGTTAGCTTACACCAGCAAACAGAAAGTGGGCTTTATTTGTCCTCATCCGCAGCAGTGCGGCACAAAAACGTGTCATGCTGATCTTGCATCGAATCAGACCTATTCCTTCGTCCCTACCAAACGTGGCTTTTCCACACACGACACCAGAACCGTCATAACGACTCTAAAATGGATCTTTGTAGAGGAAAGAATCAATTTCTTTACGTTGAGTAGATAAAGAAACAGTTTAGAGTATATTCAGCTATAGGTATTTGGCAAGCCTGAAAAGTGTAAGATTAAGAGACGTAATCTCCAATATAAGCGACAGGTAAACACGCACAAGTGCAAAATTTGAAGCTGAAAATCAACTATGGTGCGACTGGCGCGTTTCCAGTCCCATTTGGTTGATATAATAGGCATTCTTCATTTGAGAAGAAGAAGATGCGATCACTGGAACAAGGACTTTATTTTACTGACGTTTCGGATTCCCTCGGGAATCCTTAATCATAGGTAATCGAAGAACATCATTTGATCATCTGTTCATCGCGACCGAGTCAGGCAGTAACTGTTTCGAGTAGAGTGCAGCGATGACGTGTGCTTTAAGACGTCTTTATTGAAGCTGTCTGAGGATTTGAATATCTTACTCCGCTCTCTCCCTCTGAGTTCACTCTGTTCCGACTGCGGAAAAAGGTCAGTTTGGTCGAAATTGGATGTGAATGTAATGGCTGGAAAAGGTTTGCAGTTCGTTTAGCCTCAGCCCTCGTGGCCAAATCTCTGTATTCACAAGTACCGGACGTCATTTGAGGAGTCCCGTGTCTTGCAGAAATTGTAGATGTCATAAAGGGAACATTTCAAGGAGTAACTGTGGTCTGACTTTCGGCGAAAAGATGACAGAATCATCCCGTCAGTTAGCATCCATCCAAATCACGGTTGATAAAGCTTCCTTGTAAGGGCGCAGCGGGTTAGTTTTTCTGTAATAAAGATGTAAATTAGTGACCCCGAACTAAAAGGATTTTAAAAGACCTTAGGACAAACTCGTGCTCAACGAACTCTCTATCCTTAAGAAATTTTAGACTGTCAGAAAGGCCGTGCTAATTTAAAGAGGCCGTGATACCAAGGGCCTTGAGAGTTAATTTATCAATGATTGGGCCCCGCATTTTCATCGGAGAATCCTCCAATCATCTATGTGAATAATATCTGCAAAGAACTACCTGCTTACGTTCTGTGCATTTTCCATGAATTTTGGATATTGTATAAGTTCATTCACATTTCCTTGAATTAATGCGTAAAAAAATTAATTGATTTTGCTTGTTATTCGACAAATTAGGTCTTTTCAGATTTGTGTGTTTGAAATAACGAGGCAGGTTTAACTGTAAAAAGTTCCTACTTTACTGTTTAAACACAACCTACGTTGTCTTACTGTTAAGGATGTTCAAACTTCCTGTTATGTATTTTTTCGTAGCAAAGTCAATAATTCTTTAGCGTGGTTGTGAAAAAAACCGTCAGATATCCCCAAAATACTGCATTAGATGGGGACCACGTAATATGCTGTTAACAGCAGGTAAATAAACGTGGAGATATAATAAAAAAGGAGTGACTACGTAAACTTCCGAGAAATTTGGAAGATTAAAATTACCAGCAAAGAAAAGGGAAGTTGCAATGGGCATCTCTAACAAATCAGCCACCATCAGCCTG